TACAGCAACCTGTTACTCACCTCATAGGACACTGGGCTACACATACCAAGCAAGAGGCAGAAGGCCCAAAGACCCACTTCCTGGGCCTGGCTCTCCTGTGGCCCCGTCTCTGTGTGGGCCAAGCCCAGAGAGCGAATTCGAGGGAAGGAAATAGCAGGACCCACAGATGTCCAGGCTGAAAGAATCTGTGCCTTCCATGGAGAGTGCTCCCTCCCTCCCTTCCTCCTCCCTCCTATCCCCCATCCTTCCTCTCCCTCCCTCCCCCATGGAGAGACCTCCCTCCTCCTCCTCCTCCCTCCTCCTCCCTCCTATCCCCCATCCTTCCTCTCCCTCCCTCCCCCATGGAGAGAACTCCCTCCTCCTCCCTCCTCCTCCCTCCTATCCCCCATCCTTCCTCTTCCGCCCCCTCCCTCTCCCTCCTGGTTTGATGACCTGGCCGATGGCTTCCTCTGGCTCGCTCACTAAGGCAGACACCTGAGGAGCTGGAGGCTGGTTCAGTGACTGCCTCCCTGAGCCTCCTGCACCACCCTCACCCCCCACCTTGTCTCCTGCTCCACTTGAGCCCTTCCAATGGTCAACAGAGTCACAGTGTGAGCCCAGCAAGAGCAGAATTACCAACTGGCCCCAGTGCAAACCGCTGACCTATGGAATCACAGCACCGAAGTAAATGGCACTGTTTCATCACTAAATCTTGGGTGACCTGTTGTACGGCAGTAAAGCAACTGATACATGGCTTGGGACATTGCCGTCCTCAGGAAGCAGCATTTTCCTTCCACCACTGAAACTGGGAATGCGTGCTCGCCCCAGCCCTTGTTTCTAGGGCACAGACGGTTACGGAGCCGCCACAGGGAGCTGTGCAGGTTGCAGCTGTCTGGATTGTGTACAATCTGTGCACACCTGCACAGACACTAACGTGCCCCAACTCCAGACCCCCCAGGTCTGAGTGGTAAGCTATGGTGTGTCCTACGCAGTCCACCAGCTTCCTTGGTAACAGCACTGCAGCCTCACAACAGCACTGCAGCCTAGCAACAGCACTGCAGCCCAGCAACAGCACTGCAGCTGCAGCAGCCACGGACCGTGCAGCCCCACCCGCAGCATGATTCATGGGTTTCGCTCCCTCCACGGAGCACCAAGACAGTCCTCCCATCTTTCCTGTCAATTCCCAAAAAACTTTCAACAAATTCCCTTTCTGTGTAAATGTGCCAGACCCGGGTTTTCTGCATACAGCTGAGCAGGCCTGCCACCTGGGCCGAGTGGTGCCCTTCCCCGCCCAGTGCCCTCCCGTGGGGAGGACACAGGAAGGAGGCACACAGGCTGTAAACCAGAGCCGTCAGTGGCTGCCTGGGGGCCGGGGTGGCTCTGTGCAGGCACCCTGCTGGCCCAGTGGGAGGAGGGTGGACACAGAGGCTGCAGCTGACTCACGGATGCCCCATGCCGCAGGAGCTCTTTGTGTGTGCACACGTGTGGACTGTGTGTCTGCATGCGCATGCGTGTTTGCGTGTGTCCATGTGGAGGAGTGAGGAGATTGCTCAGAGATGGGATGGAGGCAGAACAGCCAGCAGGGAGGTGGGGAGAGGGACGCCTGGATCCTGTGAGGTGGCTGTGTAGAGTGCTCTGGCCACACTCCCTGGGATTTCCCGCCCCACTTAACAGTGCCGGTGTGAGCGGGTTCCCACAGGGGCAGCAGCCAGCTAGATGGGACAAGCAGAAGATGGTTAGGAAGACACCGCCTTCTGCCCTTGACCCCAAAGAGAAGCCCTCGGTAGGGGAATGTGACATATGCCCTGCGGGCCCCTGGTGGCCCGCATCCCCAGTGCAGAAGCCCATCCAGGCTGCAGCACAAGGAAATGGAACAAGGGCGTCCGTCACCAGTAAGCTCCACCCTCGGGGAGTCAGGTGGCTCTGGGCCAGTCTTCCCAGCAGCCACCCTCTGGAACCACCTGCCTTTCTTGGCCACCTGCCCAGGCTGTGGCCACCCTGTCCCCCCAACTTCTTCAGCTACACTTCACAGGAAGCTGTGAATCCAATAGTACACCAGCCTTTTGTCACACCTCAGTGACTCCTGGCTCTCTCCTCGGCCCAGCAGATGCCATCCCCCAGGCTGCACAAGAGGTCCCGCCTGACCCTTGCAGGGATTCACTTAGGGCAAAGTATCTGACTCGGAGCCCAGTTGTGGCCTAACAATCGTGATCACGTACACACAATCTTGTGCATCTTGACCAAGTCCAAATACAGACTCAAACCCAGAAGCCCTGGCTGCGACCCCGGCCCCAGGCCCCGCACGGAGCTCTCTTCCCACAGGCCCAGTATGCATGCGTCCAGGCACGGCTCTGGTCACGGTGAGCACACTGTGGGCCCCAGCAGGGCCTAGAGCGGGGCTGTGCTGCTTCTGCCCTTCCTCTCTCCCCTAAGCCTGTCCAGGGCCCAGAGCACTCGGGCCCAGCAGGGAGCCCTCCAGCCTCCTGGGCACACTCCTGAGAGGCAGAGGAAAGGGCGAGGCCCAGGGAGGGCGCTTGGCTGTCTGTGAGTGCACACGTGGGTGGGAGATGGGAGTGCACACGCGGGTGGGAAACGTCTACAGACAGGACACCTGTGGGAGACATCCTGGGCCAGGCTGAGCAGCCACCGCTGGGGGGCCACGTGGGGCTATCCACAGTCCAGCTTCTCGCTGGGCTCAGCTCGTCCCTGCTGCTTAGCACACAGTGTGCCGGTGTGCAGGGCCACTGCCCGCACTGCCCCCTGTGCAAAGCCATGGTCCAGGACGCAGGCCCAGCAGCCTCTGTAAGAGTAGAGACAGAAACAGCTCCAGCGCTCACGGAGAGAGAAGCACTGCCTGCACCGTGCCAGGGAGGTCAGCGCTGCAGGGGGCAGAGCCGGCCAGGTCCCTGCGGCCATGCCAGGGAGGTCAGCGCTTCAGGTGGGAAAAGCCGGCCAGGTCCCTGCGGCCTCATGTGAAAGGCAAGATGTGGCTGAGGAAAAGGAAGGAGAGACACGCTCAGTGCGATCCATTCTTCAGTTTTTTAAAACTAGTGAGCACAGATGTTTAGCAGGTGTGGCGAGCAGGCCTGTGACCCCAGCTGCTCGGGAAGCTAAAGCAGGAGATCCCGAGTCCCTGCCGGCCTCCCAGGGCAACTTAGTAAGACCCTGCCTGAAAACTGAAAAATACAAAAAGGCTAAAGATGTATTTTAGTGGCTGGGTTCAGTCCCCTGGGTTCAGTCCCCAGTACTACAGAGAGAGAGAAGAAAGAAAATCACCTATTTTGTGTGTATACATAAGTACTTAAAAAACAAAGCCTGGGAGATGGACCCCCACCCGGAGCAGTAGACCGGGAACTGGGAACTGCACGAGTGTGTCCTGTTGGGCGTGTTACGATCACACACGCACACTCATTCCCAGGGTGGAGGCCCAGGCAACACAGGCCTGTCTGGTGTCCCTTCTCAAGACTGTGCTAAGGACACTACTGTGCTAGTGGGTGGGGCTCAGTCTGTGCCGACCTGGGTAGGGATCACTGGGGCCTGCACACCTTCCTCTGTCCCCATCATCATCCCTCCCAAGTCACAAAGCTCACTCCAGATGGTGCAGAACACATGGCCATGTGAGAACCACTGTGTGCAAATACACCGAGCACCAGACGTGCCGGCTGGTGGTGCTGGAAGGCGGTGAGCATCAGCACAAGGGCAGGCCTCTCCCATTCAGAGTCTGGACAGAGAAGAGAGACCTGGCTGCCTCTGATGTCCCTCTCCAACAAACGAGGCAAGGGCTCCTCAAATGATCCCATTCACTTGATCCCACTTTCTGCTCCAAAAGACAGAGAGCCCCTCTTCCAACCAAAGCAGGTACCTCGCAGACCCATGATACTGGAATGCACTTGTTCTCTAAGGCTTCCACGGAGTGTAAATAAACTCCTGTCAAGACCGGGGAAGGGTCTGAGATTCACCCCACTCAGAGGCCAGCATGTCTCCTGACCCTGTCGTGGATGCTGGCAGGAGCCGGGAGACGGCTGAGTCTCCATCACTCACAGCAAGACCAGAGGCCAGAACACCAGCACCTCTACACCAGCGTCCTGACCCCAGGTCCTGCAGGGCTCATAAAGAGGAACACACCACACCTGCACATGCAGAGGGTCATCACAGGGGACCCTTGAGCCTGGGGAACCCAAACCCTTATCGCAGGTGGTCAGAATGCTGGCTCTTTTCGCGGAGGCAGCCATGGTCTGAAGGGTGCTGGACAGTGGGCCTGAGTGAGATCCACTCTCTCTCCTCCAAGGCTGTAAGCAAGCCTGCCAGAACTTTTCACCAAGGGGGATGATGGGGAGAGAGGTATCGTCATCTCCCGAGGCCGTTCTGTGCAGACACCCTTGGAAAGACAATCCAGAACAGCGACAGTCAGGGCCTCCCTCCAGAGAGACACAGAAACCTGAGACGAGCTGGGGAGGTGCCACCATCACCCGCTCTGGGTCCGCGTGTCCGTTATTTTTTACTAGGGAGTCTGAAATACAAAAGAACCATGGGTCACTGCAACCAGCCCCCAGAGGTCACGCCCTGGCCTGGGCCCCCTGTGTGGGGGCCAGACCTGGGGATTCTCCCAACAAACAGAACTCACTGGAGACGAGGGGTGTCCCTCTCAGGCCAGGCTACAGAGGCCAGTGTTCTCTCTGCAGCTCGTCTCCTTGCTGCCCTGATGAAGCTGGTCATGTGGAGCAGCCTCTCGAGGAACGAGGATGCCTCCGCCCAGCGGCCCTCGGTCCTATGACTCCCTCGGTCCTTGGTGTGAGTGACGAGGACTCGGTGAGCTCTGCCAGAACCTCATGGGTTTACTTCTAACAGGTGGGAGACCCTGAAGCAGAGGCCCCAGCAAGGCCCTGCACAACTCCCTGGTCCAGACACACCCAAGGATTAAATGTTTCTGCCTCGGGCCACCAAGATTGGGGACAGCTTGTGATACAGCAATCCATAACTGACACAGTATTGGAGGTAAGAGGACAAGATGACACCACAGGGCCATGGCAAAGCTTCAGAATTTATTCTTATCTTCCTGAAATCTGGGTTTGAAGCAAAGCAAGTGGCTTCTACTTGGATAACAAGTGCAAAGGGACCTACATTTTAGTCTAACCATGGAAACCCGGGCCCCTGGAAGCGGGCTCCCTTCCACACAGGAATGAAGAGGCCTAGGTCATTCCAGACCCACGCCCTCGTCCGGCACCTACCTACTGTGATAGTGAAGGGCGGCCTTTACTATTGGACCAAGGCGAGAGCCTTCTGAGCGCCCTCCACAGTGAACGTGTGATCTGCGGCACAGCAGGGAGCCCCCAGGACACGGCTCTCCTGTTCAGCTCACTGCGTTCTCTGAGGTTCAGATGCCCCACAGCCAGGAGCCCCTGCATTCCTGGGGTGAGGGGGGGGAGCATGCTGTCCCAAGAGTCCCTCCCACACCGGAGGACGCTGGCTGGGGGCACCATCCATGGGAACTGCCTGCTGACCGGGCAGCAGGACCGGGCAGGCCTGGCGGGCGCTCACACGTTCTCCTTGTCGAACTCGCACATGAAGTACATGGTGGTGTGGCAGGCCACGTCGTTCCAGCCCCCCGAGGCCACCATCTCCACGCAGTCCTCCTCGTCATAGGCGTTGTTGGGCTCCCCGCTGCGCCACTTGTTGAAGGTCTGCATGGGGGACCGGTCCGAGTACACGAAGGCCCCCTCTCTCTCCAGGTCGTTGATGCCGATGAAGACGCGGGCCAGGCCCGCCTGGGCCAGGTAGGCGGCCATGAGGCCGTTGGCGGCCTCGTCCTTGGGCATGCTCAGCGTGCCGCCCCGGCCCTGGCAGGACAGCTGGGCGTCGGCGTACCGCTTCTCCTCCTTCACCAGCAGGTAGATCTTGCTGTCCGTCTCCCGCACACCGGCGACAGCTGCAGGGGAGGGCAGGGCTGGAAAGTGAGCACTGCATTCCCATCAACAGGCCTCAGGCTCACGGGGACCCCAGACCACACCTGGAGCCGCAGGCGGCCGGGGCTCTGCCCCCGGGGCTGGGGGAAGGGAAGCCGGGGCCCAACATACCATTTTTTATAAATTTTAACTCCGTGGTCAGCTGCGCGACCTGGTTGTCCATCTCTCCAATGGCCTTTCTCAGCTGGCTGCACTCACAGGGGATACCTGCAGGAATCAAGCCACTGAGCAGGCGCTGGGTTCAGAAGAGGGGCGCACCCCACCCCCAATATGATCGTTCCTCGGCAGACACCAGGGAGGCCTTCGAGGCCGTGAAGATGATGTCCTAAAGGCAAGACCAGGCTTGCAAGTGTCGCCTGGCAGCAGGGGAAGGCAGAAGCCGCTGGGCAGGAGGAGGAGGGGCATGGCCTCCCCAGGGAGGCTGAGGGTGGCAGTGCAGACACCAGGGCATGGGGGGAAGGAGGAACGGAGCCGGCAGAGCCCAGGACTGCCACACGGCACCTGGAAGGAGGGCAGCCAGCGGCACGGTCTGTGTCCCTCGGAGGGACCGCAGGATGGTGGGGCAGATGGGAGGGGACACAGAAGCCCCAGGTGAGGCATCTCCAGAGGCCTGGATGGGGAGAAGCTAGGGACCAGGAGCAGGAGGCTGGCGGGAGGCCTTCAGGACCCTCCTGCTCCACACAGAAGGCCAAGGTGTAAATGGGGGGGGGGGGGGCTTCACAGAGAGGAAGAGCCAGCCGCCATGGGGCAGGAGGGGACAGGACCCAGCACAGATGGAAAAGCACCCACGTGAAGCAGCAGCAGTAAGCGTCAGCCCTCCTCAGCCTTCCAGGAGGTGGGGAACCCTGGCCGCACGCAGCCCGAGCTGCATCCTGCTGTCCTCTGCACCTCACGTGTGAGCTGCGAGGGAGGCCTCGCACAGCGGCCTGCCGGGATGTAGCCCAGGCAGGGAGAGGGGCTGCGGCAGAGCCATGTGGCTCTGGGGGGACAGAGAATGGGCAGGAAGCTCCAGCAGGCACTCCACAGGGCTGGATGACGTGCCCCTGAGCTTGCCTAGACATCCCTGGTGGCCCCCAAGGTGAGGACACTGGGGACCGCTGCTGGGGTGCCTGGGGGGGCATTCGGGTGTGCACCTCTGATGGGGAGATCCTGGAGCACCCCGAGAGAGATGGAAACCCAGGAGCACAAGCTGTGGGGCGGGCAGGCCTGAGCCTCGCCAGGCAGGGGTCAGAGGGACGGCAGGCCCAGGAAGGGCACCGAGACATCAGGTGAGGGACGCTGGAAGCTTCCACCAGAGGGACTAGTGAGCAACCACCTCCCAGTGTCATGGATGCCCTGCCTCCCAGCCCCCGCGGTGTCACTCACGCTTCACAGTGTTAAAGTACGATTTTAAGACATTTTATTAAAAATCCTTGGGCTGCTCTGGACTGGGCAAAGGGGAGGCGGGGAGGGGTCATGAGGGTAGGAAAGATGGTGGAATGAGGTGGACGTCATCACCCTAGGTACATGTATGATTCCACAAGCGGTGCATCTTTACACCATGCACAACCCGAGAATTGAAATGTTGCGCTCCACGTGTGTACAATGAATTGGAATGCATTCTGCTGTTGTGTACAACTAAGTAGAACAAATAGAAATAATAATAAAAAAAAAATCCTCAGGCCGCTATGCCATACCTGGCTCTCCGTTAGGGCCAGGGGGTCCCATATCACCAGAATCTCCTTTTTGACCTGGAAAAGAACAGCAGAGTCAAGGTCACCACTCAGAGCTGATGTGCTCCCTGAGTAAAAAGCGTCCCGGTTGAACCTCTCCCTTCGGGTTTCAAGCCTGAGAGTTCCCAGATCCTCCTTTGCAGGGAGCACAGGGAGTGCTCTCTGCATGAACAGGACCCTGTGTATGTCCTGGGGCTCGAGGAGGTACAGGTGCTTGCTGTTGACTCACTCTGGAAGCCAGGGTATTCCCCGGATAACTCTGCAGGCAGCACCCACAGATCCTCAGCTCCAAGGGTGAAGGCGGCTGGCTCGGACGCCAGCTCCTTCCTGACCCTCCCCGCAGCACGGAAATCCAGATACATGCAGGATGGTGGAGCTGGGGTTGGGCTTAGCAACGGCCAGGTCCAGGAAGGGAGGACACACTTATAACCTCACGCTGGAACCCAGGTCCCTCTGGCCCTCTCAGGCAGCCAGGAGCCCTGGCCCAACCTCCTGTTAGGTGGGACAACCTGCGTCCTGCTCTGGCTGACTCATCCCGCAGCCTCACAAAGCCTAAGAAACCAAAGCTGGGCGGAGTGGACCGGCTTCCTGACATGCCTGGCATTACTTCAGTGATGAAAACCTCGTGCATCATGCTTGTTGAGAGGCTGAAAACACAAAGCTGGCCATGCACAGCTCCTACCCTGCACCCGGGAAGGTGAACCCCTAAGTCCTGCTGCCCGCGCACACTGCCCTCCCCCTCTCCCATGAGTGGAGCAGCCGCTGGCTCCAACTCTGAAAGTATGCACTGGGGCAGAATTTACAGGCATGACACACAGAAACTAGTAAGACCACCAGGCAAGAAGGTCCATCTACAATTGTCCTCAGATGCTCCGAGCCTGGGAGGGAGTGGGAGGCAAGAACTGCATTAGAATACCTTTAGCACCGATGGGACCGATTTTTCCATGGCGACCCACACTGCCTTTCTGTCCTTTGTCCCCCATGTCTCCTGTAGAAAACGATAAGATCAAAGTTGGCAGATGCACAGGTGATCCAACATGCCTCCTCCTTGCCATCTCCCACTCGCCCATGCACACACAGACCAAGACTGAAAAACTGCACAGCCCTTAACCTCTCCAAGGTCACGCAGGTCCTCGGTGACAGTGAAGGGAAGGAGGCATGGTCTGACCTCCACCCCGCACCACGGTGCTTCCCAGCTCTCACTCCCGTCCCCAGCTGAAACACAACCACAGGACTCCAAGGACACAGAGGGGTGCTCTTGGGAACATGGGCACGGGTGCCAGGTGGCACAGCCTGGGCTCCGCCTGGCTGCATTTGAAGGAGACTCAGGAGGGGTAGGGAGCAGGAAGGAGGGCCTGGGTTGCCCCTGCACGCCTCACCATCGGGCCAGCTCCACACCAAAGTGCTGTTCCACACTCCCTGCTGGCCCCTGCTAACAGTCACCAGCCCCTCTGCGTCTTCTCCTGTCTCCTGCAGGAGGGAACAGGGCCTGGCCTCACACCACCATGACCCTGCAGGACTTCCCTCTGGTCACTACACCAAGACTGAGAATGGCTGTCTTTGCATGGCCCCAGAACAGACTCAAAGGACAGTTGCTGAATGCCAGGCTCCTCCCCTCCAGAGGCCACCTGCTCCGGCCTTTCCACGGGTGGTCACCGATGGCCAGGCAGACTGACAGCAGGCTCGGGGACTGCAGCAGGAAGCTCAGTTTCATGCCCTCATCCCCAACGTGTCCTGTGTGCCCAAGGATTCGGGATCACTCCCAACCCACGCTGTCACAGAAACAGGGAAGCTCGGGGAAAGCAGGTCCCAAGAGAAGCAGGAAGACCTGCACCCAGTCCAGCGAGCTCCGTGCAGAGATGGACTCCTGGCGGGAAGTCCTGCGCTGTGGCGCACATGGGCAGCTTCCAGAGCACAGAGCACGGCTCGGGTGAGCCACACTGAGTCCAGCGCTGCCCGGGGAAGGGCAAGGAGCCGTGCATTGCTCAGAGCATGTGGGCTCACATGAGTTCTCCTGTGGTTGTACAAGGTCCCTGCATAGAAGTGGGCCGGGCTGTGGGGCTTGACCAGGTCAGTGCCTACTTCAGGGTGGAACCAGGACAGGAACGGAGACCTGTTGATCTGAAACTCAGGGCTGTTTTCCTGCAGGGAGGGCCTGTGGATCAGTCAGAGGAATCAGGACTAGAAGGTGGGAACCCCAGCATTCACTGGGGCCATGTGCAGCTGGGGTACCAGGGAGGGCGGGGCCTGACCAGCCCAGCATGACACTGGTGCGGCAGGTGTGTGTGCCCACACAGCACATGGAGTCTGCTGGGAAATCAGGGGACCATCAGGCAATTGCAACCCAGGAAATTAGCCATTTAGAAGCTGAAGTCTCTGAGGAGCATGAGCAAAGGGACAAGGGAAGCATCTGTCCCCGAGGTATAGTGAACCACTGAACCACCAGGGAGTTGGGAAGAAGAGGGCGAGGTCTCACCCAGGACGCAGCCGGCCACTAAGTGAAGAGATGGGAAGGGGCAGGGACGGAGCTGGCTGGGGAGGGTGGGGGAGGTGCAGGCGGACAGGCAGTGTCTAGGAGGTGGCAGGTAGTGGCCGGGTGGCAGAGGTATGTGGGAGGTGGAGTGGCAGGCCCTTCGGGTGACCACATGGGAGGGGTGAGGTGAAGACCTGCAGCCTGGGCTGCCAGGCAGGTGATGCTGAGCATCCCAGAGGCTGAGTCGCAGAGGAAGAGGACGCTGGGCCCCAGTGTCCCTAGGGAAGAGCAGGAAGAGGGGGGCGCTGGGTGTGTGAGGTGGGGGCCAGGCAGGGACGGAGAACTGGGGGTCATCAGTGTGTCAATGGCAACTAGAAATAGGCCCCGGTGATGTCACTCAGGGAAGGAGGGAACCAGAGGGACACGGGAGACAGGAACAGCCTGTGGCCATGACCTGGGGGTGTTCAGGAAGGAGAATCGGGGAGAGGAGGACAGGGCAGGATGGTGGCCACTACGCAGCAGCAAAGGGGAGTCCCTGGGTGGCCAGGGAGGAGCAGGTGGAGCCGAGGAAGCAGAGGCCCCAGGGCAGGGCAGCCCCCCAACACCAGCCCGGAGGTGCACCCCCTCCAGCTGTCCCCAGTGTCAGCCGCTGGGGCGGCCCTGCCTGAGTCAGTCTGCAGTACCAGGGGACCCAGTGCCTGCCATGATCACCAGATCCGCCCCCCACCCGCTGTGACAGCCCTGATGGAATCCACCCTGCTTCTCCACCAGGAGATCCTGAGCCTCAGAGGGAAAGTCGAGAGCAGCTTCCAGTCAATCAGCCAGTCGCCCTCCCCCTCCCGGTAACCCCGCGCCAGGGAAAGAGGTGGTCCCGAGGTCCTCGCCAAGTGTCAGCCTGTGTGTGCCCAAGTGCACTGTGAGAGGGACGCCAGACCCACTTCTAGACCACAGCTAAGGGCTTGCTTCCCTGCAGAGGGAGAAGCCGGGTATCCACCCCCAAGCCAGGAGGGATGGGGTGGGGATGGGGTGCCCCTCTGCCCCTCCCCCAGCACCCTGGGGCCGCACCCAGAGAGATGCAAAGTCGTTTAGCCCACCTCCTACAAGACAGTCCTCCAGGCATTTAAACTCCTCTCTGGAGTCCTACCCCCTGGGGCTGGGCTCCCTCTGGCCAGTCCAGGGCGCCTGTGTTCCTCCTGCAGACTGACATGCCCACCGCACTGGGTGCCCACAGGAGGCCCAGCACCTCCCACTGTGGACTAAGTCAGGCCCCAGTTCCTTTCCGATGCTCCTGGGGTGAGGCCTTTGGGAGCTGAAGGGGGTTGGGGGAGTCAGAGGTGGGCTGCAGGACGGGTAGTCCTTAGGAGGGTGGGAAGACACGGGAGCTCCTGCCCGCTCTTGCCTGGGAGACCCGGTGAGAAGGCAGGCGTCTGCAAGGCCTGGCCAGGACCCTGCACGCTGCCCCTGCTGTCTGCCCTCCAGCCTCTGGGGCTGTGCGAGGCGAGTGTCTGCAGCTCAGCCACCCTGTGGCCCCTTGTCTTGGCAGCCCAAGCTGGCCCACGTGCCTCCTTGCTCTGGACTATTAATGTGGTCTGAGGATGAAAGATGACACAGTGTCTCTGCTCAGCCTCATGCAAAGTGGGCTCCACAGGAAAACCAATGTCCCCTGAAATGCGTGTCTGCTGTAGAGTGTGTCCCGAGGCCCTCCTGCCTGCCCACCCGCCTGGGGACACCTTCTCCCCAGCCTGTCCTCAACCCACTGACTTGTGCCCAGCGCCCCAGCCCTTCCTGCAGCCTAGCACTGCCCCCGGTTCCTGAAACCCCAGCTGAGCCGCGGGAGGATGGCGGGTTGGCCTGCTCTTGTTTCCCTCCCGAGACCTGGTGGCTCTGCTTTCATGCGGTGCCCATGCAGGGTGGTCTGTGACACCCTCACCCACTGGGTCACGGCAAATTGGGCTGCATGTGGGTCTCACATCAGGGGGAGTCCAGGGCAGGGTGAGCCTGCAGACCTTCCAATGGAGGGCAGAGGCCCAGAGCCCTCAGGATCTGCCCAGGTTCACACAGCTGGTTCAGGGAAGAGCTGGGACAGGGCCAGCCTGCCGACCCCAACCGGGAACCCCCCACTCCCTACCCTGCCCCAGCACATAAAGCAAAAGCCTGGCGGATCGTTCCCAATACCCAGGACACCACTGAGTCCCTGCCTGGAACAGGGCAGTGTCCCTGCCTGGCCGTACAGCTCCTGCTGCAAGAGACCGAGGAGCCCTCCAGAGGCCCATCTCTTAAATGGGACTCTGGCTTTTACAGATTCCCTGGGAAAAGATGGGAAGGGAGTGGGGGCCTCCTGCCCACTTGGGGTTGTTTCTCTGAGGCCCCTGAGCTCTGCCTAACAGGGGAGCAGAGGAGCAGCCCGCTGCCCTCACCGCTGGCCCTCCCACCCAGACAACTCCCCTTGGGAAGCTCAGACCCTGAGGCGACAGGGAAAATGCGGCCCTTCCCCTGGAGGGGAAGCTCCTTCCAACACAAGCATACTCCACACGAGACCTCCCCCTGCACAGAGGGATTAGTGAGCACCCATTCCACCAGCTGAAGTGCAAGGTCAGAGGCGAGCGGGCACCTGCTGCTGTAAGAAGCCATGACCTGAGAGTGAGAACGTGGCATCAGGCCCACCCCCAGCCACAGAGCCAAACTTTAACAGAATCCAAGGTTGTTGCCGACACTGGGTGCCTGTCACCAGCCAGGTACTGAGCTCAGCTCCTATCTTACAGAGGCATGGGACCCGTCCCTGCCACAGGGTACTAAGAGATGAGGCACAGACACAGGAAACTAAATGCTGTGTGGACAGCCGCAGCCAAGCAGGAAGGACACAAGGAGCAGACATGAGTTCCAAGCCAAGAGCAGCCAGCACTGCCGTGAGGACCTCGGGATCCCTGGGGGCCTGCGCACCACAGGTGGCAGGGCCTGTCCCAGGGTGACTCAGAGGCCTGGGCTCCGGCATTTCTAGCAAGTTTCCACGGGTGCAGATGCCACTGATCCAAGGGCCGCCCTGAAGTGCTGAGGCTTGGGGTGCAAGAAGGCTGGAGGAACAGGAGCCCCCGGAGAGGACCACAGAGCCCCAGGTCTGCACCTCAGCTCCACCACCCAGGAGCTGAGCCACCCCGGGCACACTGCCTAGTCTCTCTGCACTCAGTGTCCTCATCTGAAGATGGGTGTGACGAAGTATGCCGTAGCATACGGATCCCCATGACCGCCAGCCCTCCTGACGCCCAGGGCTCCGAGTCCACCACCCTGCTGCCACACACAGCCGTCTAGCAACCTGCTCAGCAGCACAAGCCCTGAGCCTGGCTCAGTCCTCCCTCACCACCTGTGTGGCCTCTGTACTGTGTTCCTGCCTACAAACTGGGGCTGACAGCAGTTCCCCTCCTAGACTGTGGTGGAAAATGAGAACCACGGGAAGAGCACCTGGGTGTAGCATGTGGGACAGACATGTCACCAGCAGCAATGACTCATCATTGGCAGGG